CCCTGACCCCCCCGATCCCTGCCCAGCCAGGCCCTGCTGCCCTCAGGGCCCTTCTGCCACCTGCCTGGGCTGGGCCCAGGGTGGCAGGACCTGGTGCCCAGCCAGGTCCTGCTGGCTCTGGGGCTGCTCCTGCTGCCCAGGTAGCAGAAGCAGCCCCAGGGCTGGCAGAACCCAGTGGGTGCAGCATGCAGGGACCATGTGCCATGCTGGGTCCTGCCACCAAGGGCCTGGCGTGGCCAGGTAGCAGAGGGACTCCAGGGCCTGCAAGACCCAGCCGGGCCTGGCATGCAGTCCCCATGCTCCATGCTGGGTCCTGCCACCAAGGCTCTAGCCTGGCTGGGCAGCAGAGGGGCCTCGAGGGCAGCAGGTCCTGTCACCAAGGCCCCGACCCAGCAGTAGAGAGGCCCCAGGACCTGGCTGGGCCCAGCATGCGGTCCTCATGTGCCACATCAGGTCCTGCCAGCAAGGGCCTGGCCTAGCTGGGCAACAGACAGTTCCCAGGGCTGGCAGGACCCAGCTGGGCCCAGCACATGGTCCCCACATGCCACGCCGGGTCTTGCCACCATGGCTCAGAGTGCTCCACTCCCGCTGCTGCTGCTAAAGGTAAGTTATGGGCCCTGCACAGGGGTGCTGGGGCCCTCCAGGGTACTTGGGACCCTGGGTGGGGGGGCTGTGGCCCTCAAGGGGGAGCTGGGACCCTGGGTGGGGGGGTGCTGTGGCCCTCCAGGCCACAACACCCTGGGGTGGGGCCTGGGGCCTTGTGGGGGACAGGGGCTGTGGCCCTCCAGGGGGGAGCTGGGGCCCTGTGCAGGAGAGCATTCCATGTGCTGTGTGTCGGGGCTGCACTCTGTGGGGGCCAGGGGACCCACCCCTCCTGAGCAGTGCCCCCCACAAGGTCCCACAGTCCCCCCAGCAATCGCCACACACCAACCCACATCCCTCCACACACACCCACCCACCTTCCCACACTCTTCCTGCAAACACCACATACCCCCATCATACACCCATCATGTGCAAAGAAAACCAGAAATACACATCAACATATAGGTATTTAGAATTTATTTTATCATGATGATAGAGACACTGGCAGGCTTCTACATTGCTTTAACATTGTAAATATTCCAATAAAGCATTGTCCAACTGATTGCTGTCTCTTTCTCTCTCTGTCTATATATATATATATGTGTGTGTGTGTGTGTGTATGTGAGTGTGTCTGTATAGAGTGGTTTTTTGTGTTAACTGTGGAAAAACATGGATTTTGGGATATTTTTAACAATGGATTTGGGATGCTGCTGCAGCAGTCCAGCTGGCACAAGGGGTAGTGTCCCCAGGTACCAAGTGGCTGAGACCCAGAAGCTCCGGAGAGAGAGTAGCCCTGAGCTGCTTGCAAAGGCAGCTTTTTGTATGGATGGAGCCAGGACAGGGCAGCTTTTTATACTGCTGAGGACAGCACAGGTGCTGGCCCCATGCTCTAGCTCCCCCTGGCTGCAGATCCGGGAGGAGCCAGGCAGGGTTATTTTGCCCCAAGTGGCAAAATTTGCTCCGCAACAAAGTGCATGTCTGAGCACATGTGCTGAGGCAAAAAGCCCCAGCTCATATTTGTACCACTTCTATTTGAGCTGCTGCAAGACCATGTGTTTGCATGTGTGGATGCACCCACAGAGTGCAGACAGCACCATAGTGCCCTTCTACTACACTGCCCTGTCCCCAGGAGTGGGACAGAAAGCAGAAGTTGGAAGAGAGAGGGGGAGCCCAGAGTCCCTAGCCAATATACCAGGCAGAGCAGTGGGGAAGTGATGACCTTGTGGGAGCCTGTGAGTTGTATGTAAACCCCATCTGGACCATAAGCTTCCAGTTTGACTGCCCTGGTCCAGTGTAAACAATACAGAAGAAAATGTATCTTAACTGACCAAGAAAAGCAGGATTCTTCAACCAATTTTTAAAGGATTGTTTCTTATAATGCATTTGTACAAGGAGCAGCATGATGATCCTAACTAGTTTTGTGATACAAATGAAAATTAAAAATATAATAATAATAAAGAGAAGGAAGAAAAAGATGACGACAACACCACCAAAACAGAAAAATGTGGTTCTCTTTCAATTAACACCACTATAAATTATAAAGCATCTTTAAGTTGTTAATATATTGGCATTTTTTATTATATAAGAAATTTAAGGGAAAATAGCCCAACTTGACTATGACTGTTGAAATGAATGTTGCTTAAGGTTATTTAAACCCCTTCATTCTTGCTCTTTGCTCTTCAGTTTCTTTATCTCATCTCCTTACTTTACCTCCTTATTCTTCGTACCACTCTGAAGGATTTATTTTTCCTATAGATGATCTGATTTCTCACTG